TAAATAATGTAAAGCACAGGAAATACTTGGAGCGACGGGAATGTACTCGCGCGTGCAACGCATCTCGTAAACCCTTTTTGCGGATCGGGTACCATTCTGTTTGATCGTTTATGAAACGCCCCCGTTGGTCGTTCGATGAAATGTTCGAATTGAAAACGAACGATCGGTCGTTTCTCGTTTTACGAGCTATTTGACGGTCGTATGGACGGTTTGCGCGTAATTAGTCCTGCTACCGCGAATGCTCTCAACGTCTGCGAACAACTTATTGTTAGTTCCGTTGAGCAATATATGGGCTCCTTGTACAAGGTGCGTGAGTCCTTCTTTTTTTGTTTGAAAATGTAAAAGGTTGAATTTTCAACAAATTTACAGCGTAAGACCGATGTATAAACGTTGAGAATGCTCCTCTAGTCAATAAATAGCTATCAATGTATCTCTAATCTCCAAGATATAATTTTTCGTTTTAAAAACAGCGGTCCTGTCATTACAGAAAATCGAACACCATCGAGTCTACGTCTCGTCTACTGCAGGAGATAGCGGAAACTCGGTCAAGACTTGGCCGATCTCGTACACGCTCGGTGACGTTAAATAACGAAATAAGAGGACACGGGTTAATCCAAACACCGAATTTACGCCTCTCGTTGATATCGACGACCCGATCGTCGGATACAATCGAGCAGAGGATCTCGTCGGGTCGTTTCGAGGCTTTGCTGGAACGCGGGACACGACCAAGTGGCTTAAATGCCGCGAGACATCGAGTTGACGCAGGTGATTCCAAGTTCCCTAGAAGCTGGCCAAACATTGATACCCCGAATTCGACGTAATAAATTCCCGCGTTTCTTGTGATTGACTTGCCGTTACCTGGACTACGGGCTACTGCCGCAATCTCTGATCAGCGGCTTAGCGCCTGAGAAGATTTGCCAGGCTGAGCTCGACGGAGGAGCAGCAGGAGGAAACGGGAGGGGATGATAGTCAGAGAAGTTCCTGGATGGGGGGACAAAGATACACCGGATAAGCCGGATTAAGAATAGCCTTACGCGAATTCGTCGAATTATCCCCCTCTGGTGAATAATTGGGGTTGGAAGTGTTTCGTTGTCTCGAATATGGGGGACTCGCGAAGGAGGCGGTGCGTCTATTATGCGGACTACCTACTCGAGAAACGAATTATTCAATCATCGGAACTCCTTCCGCTAAACCACGAGTGTGGGAGGGTGAATAATCAATCGCTCGTAGGCACACTCGGACCTACACGTGCTCGATGATACATTTATGCCCTCGGGGCGATCGTAGGCGATATTATGAGTTTCCCATGGTTGGAATACCTAATATGTATTTAGATGTTCTTCTTGTTCTCTTTTGGTTCGTATCGTAAGTATTAAATGTTTACCGCTGTCCGATAAAGATTTCTCCAAAGCGATTAAAACCGAAACTTTCAATAACACGGTTCTCTTTAGCTTACAAGTACTTTCTTCCGTTGACGTTGAAAGATTGTTATCGGTAATCTCTGCTGACGCAGGGACGAGTCTTTTCTCAGTATGAGCGAATCCTGCTCTTCTGGAGAAACTTTCCGCTATCAAACTTACGTCTACGCCTTTTGCGTGTAATCCAATTCATCGAGAGCGGGTTATTGATTGATGCGGTCGAAGATGGAGTGCTTGCATGCGGCTCAAATAAAGTTCATTGTCACGTCTCGATGGTCCAGCCTTTCTCTACTAAATTGCGCTTTAATATCTGGTATTTTGTTAAACGATAGTACGCTTTGAATACATTTAACATTTCTACTTCGCAGCTTGTTTAACTCCACCCTGTGCATGCCTGAACTAATTCCATCGAACGAACTCTGAAGCATAATGTGGAAGGTCAGCTTAATTTACAAGCGATGTTGGAAAAGTATATCGAATTCGAGAACTTGAACATGCTCATGCTGGTATGTTGAGTGCCGTTATAATTTTAGGTCAACGTTTGATTTATTTCAAATGATACGTTGCATGTTTTACCTGGCGGGATGATTGAAAACATATCGGATAATGTCATGGTTAAACTTATATTTAATCAATGAAGGGAAGGTACAAGGGGTCTCCCTGTTAAAAAGAAATGCCTTCTATGTAGGATTTCTTCCAAAAATCTCCACTAGTAAGAATTGGGACATCCGAGAAACCAAGCGTAATTCCGATCATCCCAGACGAACAAAACGGAACGTTCGAGCGATCCAGCAATGAGTACCATTGAATGTTGCGGGTCCATGTAAAAGGACACCGCATGTCGAGCACGGTTTCCGAATCCGTCGTTGGGCGATCGAATCCGTCGAAATTCCTCCCGGAATTGCAACTCCGCGTCTACGCCTTTCTCTAGTAAGCCATGAGGACTCCACACCCCTCGTTGGACTGGCAAGGAGGTCAGAGAGATCTAACCGCAAAGAGGAACGGTCGCAACGACAAGAAGAGGAACGGCGGACGAGTTTCGGGTTTGACGTGAATTTTCGTTGGATACCGCGGACACGAGTTTCGATGTCGCCGGTTCATCGTCAAAGTGTTCTCGCGCGACATTAGCGGAAATTGCGGACACTGCCTTTCCCGTAGCCGCCTGGTACGTCTAGTTGCGGCACGAAATGCATGAGTTTTGCGGCGAATTCGACAGCTTGTATGCACACACGCGCGGTGTCCGTGCAACTTACACAACGGACGCAAGAATAGGTTCAGGGGGGCTCGTGTATACATCGCCTGGACCCCCGCGACTACATTAATTAAATACATCTCTCTTCCTCGCTCTGCAACGCTTTCCCTCCAACCGACCGAACCGTTCCGCACCTTTGATTGTCCATGAAGTTCTCATTGTGGCGGATCAACCTGTCTCCGACACTGGAGACCTCGCCACTGCCCCCGAGTCCGCTGTTTTGATGAAACCTCTCCGCTACGCTGGCCGTGCCCATGGCCATATATACGTCAACGGAGATCATACTTTGATCTTGCGAACGTTGCATCGATCAACGAACTCGTTTACCGCTTTTGCTGGTCGAACTCGCTGCGTCCATGATAGCTGTAGCATCGATACTTCTGGCCGATGCCGCTGTGAAATAAAAAATGCATAACAAAGTCAACTAAAAACAAGTTTCTTCGGGTAAAATTTCACGTGTACCTTCGTCGGAGTGATTGCAGCCTCGTGATTAATAATCCAGATCGATAACAAGAACGATAAGCACGCGCGACGACGAGCATCGGCTTAAAAATGATGAAAAACCGCGAGGTAACAGAAAATCTGGATTTCCATTAATAATCCTTTCACGTGGTTTGGGTAATCGCGCTACAGAAATGACGGCGGCTACTTGCAATGCTAATTCCTTGTCCATCTGCTTCCTAATCGGATCTCCCTCCGGACGTTCCGTGCGAGCGAAAAGTTTGAACCGCACTGCGGTTCCGTAGGCGAGCAACCGTCTGCGAACGAGACAGCCCCAACAACCCGCTCGCCTGCATTCTTGCTGAAATTGCCACCAAGTCTTTTTCCCGCTGTCTGGCTTCCGAGGGACACGGCGGAATTGCATTTGTAGACACCGACACCTTTTCACGGTCGTCGGAGGACCTTCGTCCCCTTCGAGACGCGTTCACCGATACACATCGGATGCATTATTAAATACTCTGACCCGACAACGCTGCCGTACGAAGCTATCGATCGAGCTGTTTTCTCATTAAACGGCGACCAGCTTTATTTCTTGCCAAACAGAAGAAAATGTTGTTTTCTTCTCTCGCGAGCGATAATCATTTGTTGGCGTGAACGCTGATGGTGTTTTAGGCCTCCTCGGGTAGAAACATGGATTATAATATAGGAGGCGCAACGTCTGGAAATTTGATAAAAATTCCCACGATCTCCGCTGCTAGCATAATATTAATTGCGAGTCGCACGGTTGTTAGTTACACATGTCGTATACGTGTGTGCGTGTACGTAAGCAAGATTAAAAGATTGGCTGTCGATGCATCCAATATCGGCAGGCATCGAACGGTGATGTTTGGTTCAGGAAATCGTTTCGATGATAAAACGACGTCGATTCGACAGGCTGAAATTCCATGATCGATCGAAGCTTACTTTTCCAGGTTGTCTATCGGTCGCATCGAAAAAGAGGTATCGATTCGTTTCGCGTGCCCTTTCTTCCGCGAGCGTTTTCCCACGTTCTTTCTTCGCATCCGTGCAAACGAGTATCGTTTTTACGACGTCGACCACGGTAACGGCCAACGTTCGCCGTTTACCGTAATCGTAATTTTGACTTTTACAGTCGGTTACCATGTTCGCACCGCGTTCGACTACTTGCCGCGGACGAATCTCCGACGATGAACAAGGAGCATAATCGAACGAGTACGCGTCCGCGTACCCCGCCTGCATTGTAACGCTTTACGCCGCTACTACGAGCTCGTTATCGCATCATCGTCGTCATAACGAGGTCGTATCGTCATTACGTTCACTGATTCGAGTGCCACTATTCGCTTCACCGTTCGAACCCACCGTAATCCGCGATGCGTGTTTAGGAAGGCAATAACGAAGAATAATTACACGTCGACGCGCCATCGCAAAGCAGAAATTGGGAAAAATACTTAAACGCGGAGCACTAATTTTCGTCAAGTGACACGCATCGATAGAAATCACGTTAATTTTACCTATTCCGCCGTCCGAAAAATTTCACCGACTTTGTGCGAGATCGATACCGCTACAAAGTCGTCCCAAGGACAACAATTTTTTCGCAGGATTCCTCGGGGGTCCTCGCGCAAACTGGTTGATTTCAAAGTGAGATTTCGAGGGAAAGATGCAGGTAAACAAACACGGGCCTCGCGGTGAACGCTGGTCTAAGCGCGACGAGGACAGCTAAACATGGGATGAGAAACGTGGGAAAGAGACGAAGTCAGGAGGGAAAAGCCCCGGGGGTGGCTAATGCGCGGGCGCGGCTTTGCGGGTCAGAGTGCGCTGGGTATATAACCGGGCGGATGCCGTCGTCCTTTAGTCTTGCGTTTATCGTCGTAGCGACGACCCGCTCGAACTCGATCGCGTTGTCGTCGCATGCTCGCGGTCCATTGTCCTTTGACAGATTCGTTCAGTGATGACGCGTAGTGCGTTTCGTTTAGACGTGGCCACCGCGACACCTCGTGCGGTGTTTCATTCATCGATTTAGATCTAGATCCACCTGGATCGATCTCCCATCGTGACGTCGCGAAACTCGTAATAAGTCCGATCCTAACAAATTTGCAATTTCCACGTTCTTTGCTCCTTCGACGTTGATGCTCGCACAAGCTGGGGACGAAGTATTGGCTAGAACGATATAGCGTTAATCGCCATTTTAACTGGAGTTTGCTACGTCGACCATCGATTTCTTGCTATCGATGGGTCAACCTGTTGTGAAGGTGTATCGGCTAATGTTTCGGTAGAGGTCGACGAGGTTTCCCGTGGAGCCAAAGTGGTTACGACTCCAAGTGGAAACGCGAAGATACTCGGTTTCGGCGATACCAGAGATAAAAATTTCGCAACAGCTGGGGGTAGATTCTCAAACGATAGTCGTTCGATTCCCAGGCGCGAAGCGAGGAGGCAAAGAAGGAGGACAAAAGCGTAACGAGACAGGAGCGAAAACGAAAGAAGAGAAGCAGTGCACGGATTTCCAAGCTGTGCCTCCGGCCAGATACGACCGCTTGTATAGATCTATATGCATAGCAAAGTTGCGGCGATAGAAGAGCCTCAGCCACAGCGACGAGTATCTGGGTCATACACCCGTCCTTTCTGGCTGTTACCGCTGTCGTAGCTCGTTTTCCATAATTTCACGAGATTCGCTTGTCGCAGCAGAAATGGGGGTAGGATCGGCCAGCGACCGTGGGAACGGATATATCCGTCGTTGAAAAGCCAGGGAACCGGGAGAACCCGATAAAGCAATTTTGTAGGTAGTGTACTGTATACCAAGCCGCAATACGCGATTACGAGCAACGAGAGAACAGCTGTTAGCGTCTGTTCGCTTTCCTAGCGATGAGAACGTCGGTCTGACGTCTCATAGGAACGCAAAGTGGTGTATTCGGAGCTGGGATACGCGCGAAGACAGCTGTAAGAACGACGAGCAGCTTAACGAGAGAACTTGGTTTCCAAGGGTGAGTGCGGTTTCTCGACGTTGAAAATTCACAGTCCGACCGCACGCGAGCTCGTTTGGACTTTTTTTGTCAGCGGCGCCATCCCCCGGAACACGCGTATCGGTTGGTCTGGTGGAAATCGGCACCCTAAATTGTTTGCGTACGTCGCGTCGGCGACTCGATACCCGCGACCGTAACGAGCTGTTACGTCGTTACACGGCGAAACAGAGAGGCCACCGTGGAAAAAAAGGCAGCTCGACACCGGCAGCGGCGCTGCCACCTCCCGCGGGGACAATCCCAGCCGAACGACCGCCGCGCGAGAACTATTATCCATGGAAGAGCAATCAGCCAGCGCCAGAGCCCGTTTCTCTTTGGAGCGGACACGTAGGACGTGCCCGACACGGTAAATAATGAACCCCCGCAGTCATTTATCAAGCTCACCGCGCCGGGCCAACCGAATGTTCAAAGTAGTCGAGCTCTAAAGTAAATGGAAGAGTGCAACGCGAACCGAGTACATCTGGGAGCTGGAGACATGATTCGCGGATTACGAAGGATGTAGCGCGCGGGAAAATACGGTCCGAGTCGTTTCACAGCTTCGTCTCAAGCCTTTGAAGACTGATCAATTGCGACGCCTTCCAAAGATCAACTCCTCGGCGTGCTGCTAGAATAAATCTCTTGGGTGCGCTATCGCGATCAAACGGTTCCGTAAACGTGCAAGAGTAGCCCCAGGAGTCGACGCTTTCGCGCAAAGTCACGGAAAGGGAACCAAGAGGATAACTTGGCGCGATCGCGACGAGAAGACTCGAGTTACGGTCTGGTGTATACTCTTCTGCCATAAAAACGGTCGATGTCGTCGCGGTGGCGGTCGTTGAGATGCGATCAGCGATCGAATCGCGCGACGGTCAGCAACCCAGCGGCAGTTTCGCGAGGATTTATCAGCGCGGTAGATAGCGGACGTGCGAGAGCTAGCGTGGCTCCATGAGAGTGATTCTGACGGACGATCGCGACAGAACGTTTGATCCTTATCGCGCTGGTGTGCATCGCGCGTTTGTTGGGGAACCATGAGACGACGGAACAATGGCTCGAGCGGCGGCTACGCGGGCTGTTGCTGCCACGCGACCAAAAGAACAGGTCGCAACGGATGCAACGGAACCTCGATGAACGAACCACCCGGATGGTGCATTTACGCGACGGTCGCGCTGGTCGCCGTTGGGTGCTATCTGAACGCGTTAGGTGGTGATTTCGTGCACGACGACATACCCGCGGTCGCGAGGAACAAGGACGTGCTCGCCCAGACATCGTGGACCAGTGTTTTGAAGGACGACTTTTGGGGGACTCCCATGCACGACGTCAACAGCCACAAGAGCTACAGACCGTTGACCACGCTCACGTTTCGGTAAGCAAACTAATAACCTGTTCCACGCCATCAACCTAAATCTTTCCAATGTCCTAACCGGTGTATAGAATATAAATTATTTCTGGAAAGACTCTTAAGTAAAAAGTTCCAGTTTCTACCTTAGGATTTATGTCTTCCCACTACCATCTTAAGGTACATCATTAATTTTGCATTTGTTAAAAGTTTCTTCATCTTTCTCTCTTGCGAGCTCGGAATCGGATATATTTTTCGAATGCGTAATAATAATTAAAGATGGTGCGCGGATATGGCTTCTCGGTGCTACGATTCGAGTGTTGTGCAAACTGCTTTTTAAAATAATTTACAGTGGTGTAGTTTTAATATTAGCGTCTTTGGTTACCTGGAATGAAATTTACAACGATGAGGTACGCTGACGTATGCGTGCTGAGAGAAACAATAGACGTAGCAATATAGTGAAAATATGGTTCTTTCCAACAATTTTATTCGTGCATTTCGATAATTAGGTTTCACGGTCTTTTTGATGGTAACAAGTTATTCAATTTTGTAATAAAGTATTATATTATCTTGTTTGTATCACGTTATTATATCAAATTCAAGCTGAAGCACGTTATTATTTTCTTATCGTTTCGAAATTTCATTTATGAACTATTTGTCTGCAAGGGTTTTGGTATCTAATATACAAAACCAATACTGTTTATTTTATTATACATATAATACTCAACACAAACTGAATATGGTTATTATTTTTCTACTTGTGTCGAATATTAATTTATACAAATTTAAACTATATAAGTGTCAACGTGTTCTATCATAAATAATACAGCGCGAGAGAGTATGATGTCATAATGGCGATTAAAAAATTGAATTATTTACATTTTTTAAGAGAATACACCTACAAATATTTTCCTCTCGCGAGTGATTTTTTCGTTCATTTGGAAACAGTGAAATATCGTTAAAAAATTCGTAACGCGAGAAACATTGCTCAATGGAAATCTTCGCGAGTGTCAGCGTGGCAATCGGTGATGGTATTATTAAAACGATTTCGCTGCACTGCTACAATTAGTAGAGACTGTACAGTCGCGCAATTAAAGCTGCGAATTCGAAATACAGTGGACTAAGCGCGTTGGGTTATCGCGAACGGAATAATTACATGTTGCATTTTTGTTGCCCCCCATGCTCGCGAATCACAAATACAATGGTGATTTTGTACGCCAGCTCGCGTAGAAATGTCGAGATCGCGATCGCAGGAGAGCAACCGTTATCTTGTGCATAGATGAGCAGTATGGTTGCCGTAGTCCATCTGGCGCGATAGTGAATGCCAGGAGGAGGTGTATATGCAAGAACACTGACCGCGAGGAACTCGTGGACGCTGGCGCGTTGCAGAATGTCCCGTGTAACACGATTCAGGAGCCGCTTCGGCTTCCGCCCAGCGCGCGATTTGATGCATGGATACCAGTTTGCCACACTCCACGCGCAATACTGCATATTGGCTGGTATTGGGCCATCCATCATACCGCAAGACACCGACACATCGCTCATTCGCCTTAACGCTCCAGATGCTGTTGCCAACTTCGACGCGAGAGAGACGGGCGGCTCGTAGATTCTGGCGGAAGGAACGACGATGGGGGGCGCAAAGGGGCTCGGGAGGGGAGACGGTGGCTGAACATTGCGCTTCCGCGTTTCGCGCGTTGCCGGAAGTGGAACGCATCCATAATTCCCGAGACTCTAAGACGCGAAGGCTACGGGCGCCGGCAGTCACGTTCGTTCGTCTAGAGATTACGGGATATTAACGATCGGGACACGAGCGTCATTTCCACGGGAGTTTATATAAACGTCTTCTAATCATCCTGCACAATCATTTCTCTCTCTCTCTCTCTCTCTCTCTCTCTTGGAATCGATCTGGCGATCAAAGGGAGGCCTTGCACCGTGTGTTACTCAAACCATCTAGTATTAATCGAGTTAATAACGTCACTCTCGATATAATATACTAATCTTAATATTCGATCATATAGAGCTTGTGACTTAACCATCCCTCAATATTTCATCGATAACCTTCTCAAACAAACTGCCAAAAAAAACCTTCCTCGACTTGTGTACAAGAAAATTCATGAAACTACCCCTCTTTTAGAATGTCCAAGCGTATACAAGCCCTCAATTGAAAAGAACGCGGTGCACTTTGATACGGGTAGAGAAATAACAAACGGTAATCCTTGCGGGTTGCTTCTCAAAGAGTGACGTTATTGGCACTGCGACTCGAATACATACCTGGGGAATGCGAAGCCGAGAGGAGGGTTACGTGGCACATATTTATAATTACTCTGTCTTTGGTTTGTCAGGGACTCCGATGTCGATTACTCTGTACACGCGACTTTCTGCTAACGGCGATGCACGGGTCAAAGATTTCGAACAATGTCCGCCTTTCGCGAGCAGAGCTACATACGTTTCATTCGACGTCTTTCACTCGTTGCCCGCATCTAGTCACCGCCCTTTGATCTCTTTATTGTCGCGGAACTTTGACGGGGCGCTTAGAATATTTTGCTTTCAGAATTCGAGTCTCTCGGAATGAAAACGTATCCGAGGATCCCGAAAGTTCGCGATACATGCAACCTGGCCATTTGCTCTCGCAACCTCCGCACGAGAAGTTTCCCGGGGATTTCCGAACGGTCATCAACTTTCCGCCGTATACTCTGCGCGCACGTGCTCGCGCGATTGCACTCTCAGCTCGACCACGAAGAGCCTTCCACGTCCGAGGGTTCCCAGCGAAACAATAATACTCTCGGAACTGCAGTTCGATACGGGGCGGTTTAATAAAATTCACCCATCGCGCAGCTTCTAACGAACTATTTCAGCTGCCCTGATTCGTAATTTCGCTTAGAAATGATTGGTTCGTTTGTGTAACTCGCTGCTTGAAGGTCCGAGACGATTGTCACGTCTCACCTAAATTCGAAAAGTTAGGTGTCACCGTTGAATAATTTACAGGAACTTTACGCGCGAGGGACTACCCAATTCTTTGCATCGAACAATACCTTTATATTTCTAACAAAATATCTGGTAAAAAATAATTGTACTAATACTGTACCACCCTCGATGCCTACAAATACCAATGTAAGTAGAAAAATCGAGGATATGTCGGACGCGTCAGGCAAGTCTGTAAACGATCGCACGTGAATCAGATGAAGGACTTACATGAAACGAGTTTGTCTTATAGTTTACGAATGCATTGCTGCCGAAACCAATAAAAGCGACATATTATCATTCGAGGCTATGAATATAAATAAGAGAACATTGTTATACGTTAAAGAAGGTACAAATATTTCAGGAAAACTCGTTTCCATGGAATTTGTTGTATTTTGCCGCAAATATCATGTATAAATGTGGTTTATGAACGCGAAATACCATCAAGAAATGCAAATGTTTCCACGGAAAAGCGAAGATCCATTTAGCTCCGTGAAATCTCGTTTCCTCTTTTCCTCTCGGCTTAAACCGAGCGTTCTTCTATTTTAATATTTACATTCGTCTAGTAAAAAACAGAAAAGGAAAAGAATGGGACGGAAAAGAAACGAAAATAGTCATCAGAGCCTTCCTTTTTTCGCCTGTCGCGGTAACGGTGTACACTTTAATGCAGTGTTTCTCAAGCATTCCTATCTCCATTAAAATAAATGGAACTTATTAACTAAAATAACCGAAAGTTGCATGTCTCCTAAAGCAAATGTGAAAATAATCAAGTACACTCGCATGAGTTGCAGTATACATTTTTTTATTGAACAATACTGAAAAAATGGTAATTGGACACCAAAAAGCATCTCTCGAAAACATGCTAGAAAATGATGTTTATGGTGAAAGAGAGAGGAGGTTTACTAAAAAGAAAACTAATTTTTCCATTTTCCCACAATATGTTTTTTTTCCTTTGAGAGCTTGCGGATCCCCACCGATGCCGACGCACCCCAGTTTGAGAAACGCTGTGCTTTATTACATTTTTCTTAGGCGAATTCACGGCCGTTTTTTTTTTTCTTGGTCTGCACTCTTCGTCCATTTATCTGCTAGGCTCTTTGTGCAGGTATAATGACGATCGATATAATCACATTTGCCGCAAGTAGGAACTTATACTGTTCCCCGAGAGAGAAATTCTTCTTTGTTTCATCGTACGTTGAGGCTGAGGTAGCCAGTTACTCGAGTGTCGGGTAGAATAAAAATTGTCGCCAGCAAGTTTTATCCCGCGATGCTTGTACTTCAAAGCTTTGCGCATCGCTTTTGTCGCGGTTTCTATCCAATCCTTCGCGGAGAGACAGTTTTCATTAGTCGCTCGAAGGTCGTGCGACGAGATACCTTTACCGAGTGTCTTTCTCGCGGCTGGAAACTGAATTGCTTTTCATCGGGTGCTCGTTTCGATTGGCGAAATTAAGCGGTGCAGTTTACACGTCTGCCTTGCCGTTCTCTTGCTCAGACCACTGCTTTGTCGACGTTTGGACCGTCGATGAATTCGTCCTCTCTAATAACAGTAATCGCTCGTACGTTCAATGAATGAAACCGTTGGCCATCTGTGCGTCGATTAACGCGACGGTCATGGTTACCTTTGCTCGCGTTGTTCGAAATCTGAAGATAAATGAAAATTGCACAGACTTTTAAGAGACGACGAAAAATCGAATTTAATGACAAATTTATTTATAAACATTTACGGTTGTCAACGATGTAACGACAAAATGAACAAATAAAGCGAACATCCGATACGTGTGTTATAAGCCACCGATAGTATGTGTCTCGTCGAATCGATAGAAAAATGTTGGCCCAGATATGTTCGGTGAATTTCGATTTTTTCGTATAAAAAAAAAAAAAAAAAAAAAGAAAAACATGGAGATGGATATTGAAAGTCACTCGACCGGTATCGAGTTCCTCAAACACACGAGGGTCGCGTTTAGCCTTGCCATCGTGATTTCCGTTCTGGTCGCTCAGCATGCTTTAAAAATCACCCAACGTCACGCGATCCTCGTGACTTTCGTCGACGGTGCAGGGGATGTTTGAAA